GCACCTTCTAAAACATCACAGAAATTTCTCCCTGGAGTACACACGGAACCACTAACCACCACCCTCCCCACCACCCCACCTAAGCAATACATTCTGGTGTTTACTTCAAAGATCTTGCTGACTTTGGAGCTAAAAAGGATCAATCATTTTCACTGGGAAAGTTTTTCTCTCTTTCGCATCTCTTTTATGGAAAACAGAAGAATCTTTTAAAACTCCAAAGATCATAAATTTTGACCGTGATAAACATACCTCAACAAAGCACTCCCACTGTATGCAGTAAACTACTACACCTTACAGTTGAGCTGGTGGACTCTCACACACAGCCAGTCTTAATTAAAAAGCTAGTCTTAGCTGATGCTAGCTATTCCTTTTCTTCCTCCAACACTGATCCTTGCAAAATACCTCTCTCTCCCAGCCCCCTTCCCTCAGACACAAAGATCCATCTTTAATCCAAGGAAGACTCATGGAAGCAGACTGACTTCTTAACAGTTCTTCCTATTTAGCTTTTAGATTTTGCTCCCTCAAAGTTGACCAACACCCCACCATTCTAGGTTCTAGATTAATGCTGTGAGTGTGGGGGGTGGGGATGGGAAACGGGGATTGTTTTTGCTAGTTGGTTTGTCCCACAAAACTCCAATCACTAGAATGATAGGGATAGGCTGTCCTCTAGCTTCAGGATCTAGCATGTTCAGTTAGTATTTGGTAAGGAAACATTTTCATTTTAGTCCAGTAGCTGAAAGGTTAGCAGTTGACACCAACCAGCAGAGAGAGAAAGGCCTGGCGATCTTCTTGAGAACCCTAGGAAAGACTTCTACTCTGAACACATGGGGTCTTACTGAGTTGGAACGAACTCTATGACTAACAACAACGCTCTCACCAACTGATGTACCGCATTGTCTGTTTAGTCAATTGAGTCAGTTCTAATTCATAGGGACCTTGAATAGGATTACCAAGGAGTGGCTGGTGGCTTTGAACCGCCAACCTTATGGTTGGTAGTCGAGCGCTGATCCTACAGCGCCACACCAGGACTCCAGAGCACTGGTCAATGTGTTCATTGAGGACTGCCCACTGCACAGGCAGAAGAGCAAGGATAGAATGAAATACAGAAACACTCTTTGCAAAATCAAACTATAGTCTGAGACTTGGGTATCTTTCTGAAAGCAAAGGTGGTTTTCAGTTTAAAATCTATTATGGCAAGCAGAAAGAGATGCTGTAGGAAGAAGCCAACGGGCAATAAAACTTCAATTCATATTCCAATTGACCTATATGCTTCGCAGCATGGGCCCAAAGCAGGTACCAATCTAAAATCTTGGGGGGCAGTCCTACATGAACACACTCACAACCCTCTGCATTTAAAGGCAGGCCCCACAATAGAGTCCAGAAAACACATCTGTGAGCTGACGCAAGAAGAGTCAGTTCTTTAGCAACCTTCTTTGACGCGATGGAATGAGGGCCAGTCAGATAGTAGGATAAAACAAATGAAACTTAACATCCAAAAGGCAGTTAGTGAAAAGTAACATTTACAGAAAAACAGCTTATCGCTTAGTGACTAAGAATTTAAAACTAAACATGAAGCTCCTCTTAAACAGACATGGAAGAGAGAAAAAACCCTGTAACTTTACTGGTAAGATTGTAACCTGAAAGCCCCCCTGTCCGGTCAGATTTGGGTGACTGACTAACTGCTGCAAAGCAAGGCTATCTTTGTTGTTTTACATGCTGTTGGGTCGGTTCTTACTTATAAGGATCCCGTATAGGGTTTCCGAGAGTAGCTGGTAGCTTTGAACTTCTGACCTTGTTACAGTCCACTTCTGGTTCGACAGCATCACACCAGAATTTCAAAGACCCCCAGAGGGATACTAACTTGGACACAAGCTATACTTTCTACCACTTAGAGGGAAATAAGTTAATTACAAGCTGCGGGGAATATTCTAAACATTAGAATCGACCACCAGCTATCTCTGGGCGCATTTAGAATCAGGGAGGTTTTCTTTGCTGTATATATGTGTTGCTTTTTTTTTTTTTTGCCAAGGAAGTAAAAATAGATGCAAATAACTCCACATTTAACTTTTGTAATTAATTTCCAAATGCCTCACCTCCACAAATTTTAATAATTCCTGATTTGTAAGATGGTATCTATAATAAAATTTTCTATTTTCCAATAAATGAGAAGAAGGCAGGTTCCCTCCGACAACAGTGTCACACAATATCTGCTTGTCAGGCACCGATTTTTACTTCTTACATGTAAGTTAAAGGATCAGGAATTTATAATGCTGCCTGTGAAGGGAACCACTTTTCATACACAAATGTGATCTTTTTTTTCCTCTCCAAAGGGTAATACAACAGTACATTTACATAAACTAATCCAAACAATCTATGTATTTGACAATGGCAAAGCTCACACAGACGGCTTATTGTTGGTTTACATCTTGGGGTTCTTTATATTGGCTTGTCGCGCTGCTCTAGCTGTCAAAGGTTTGACTTGGACTCTAAATAAACGGTTATAAAAGTGCTGTGCGGCGATATTGGACTTCTTTGCAAAAGAAAACCTGCTGTGTATCAATTCAAAAGCTATTAATTTTTCAGTCAAAAATATTCGTGCCTATTTCTTTTAATAAAGAAATACTGTGCTGAGCTACTAAGAGATAATGTTGACTAGTGGTACAGTATTTTCAATAGAGCAGTTAAAAATAAATTTAGTAGGAGGTCCCCTTCCAAGTTATAATTTTCTAGAATGTAAAACACTTTAATCAAGCCAAACCCTTCCTTCCCTGTTCATGCCCCCTACTGCTTCTTTCTCCTGTTTATTGGATGCTTAACACTGGTCCTCATGGAGATTCCCAATGGACCATGGAGGCTTACATACATGGTGCTGCTTGCCAACACCGAGCCCTATCACTCACACAGTACCCCATGGGGCATTGCAATGGCTTGTCTTTAGTTTTATGCCTCTTCCTCCTAAGGAGGCCCATGATTAAAAGCATGTTCACCCTTAGATTGCAGACTCCCAACATGATTCTATCACTGTTATCTTTAGTTCATGGAGAAACTAGGAGATAACCTCACTTTCTCCCTTTCTCTGTCTGAAGACTCAAAGACATCATCCCAGGGAAATGCCTGCCCTGCAAAGTAAAGCCAAATGAAGACTTTCAGAGGATTTCACGGAGATTGGAGCCCATGGCAACTGGTGATGCCCATGGGGCAGGCCAGCCAAAGGCATTTCAGAAGTCTCACCAATATGCTTAGCTAGGTTTGTGTCACTCCCAGAATCCTCCTGAAAAGGAAAGGATGATACAAACAGTAGAGCTGACTACTAATTCCACAACACCGAGTAGCCTAGTTCTTTTCATCTTTCCTTTTTAGTAGCCCACACATCGAGTCCTGCAGCCATCTGCTGTAAAATACATGGAAACTAAGGACTCGTTCCTAGTAAAAATGGATGCGCGAAGTGTTTAATGATTTTATGTCCTATATCTCAGTAATGTGTTCTGTTTCAGACATTAATTTTGTCTGCCAACTGCATCTTGGCAGGCTACCATATTTGCTGGGTTAATAGTCTGACTCCGTTTTATTTCTATCACCATAAATCATACATATATGGGTGTATGTTTGCTTTATTTATAGAAAAAAATCAGTCAAAACAGATAAACCAATACTTTGCCATTATGCTGCATCATTGCATATTGATTAAAATTGCTGGTACTAACTATAGATTGTCAACGCTCAATTAATTTTCACACAGTGACTCCTAGCAAAATCAAATAAAAGCAGTGTACCTTTAAATTTTACAAATCTTAAAATCAAGAAGCAAGGCACTCTTCTCCATTTTGAATCATCTGTTGAAGCTGCTAGGGGAATTTTAGAAATACAACTATAGGAGAAATACAACTGTTATAAAGAGATCAAATAGTAACCAGGAAAGAGATCCAAGATAGGATTTGGGGCCTAGATACCATCCTTCTGCTTGGATGTCATTGCCATCTGTTTGCATGGTCAAGGTCAAATCAAAGGAAAACAACAAAAAAACAAGAGATCTGCAAAACGGCCACCTAATCTCAGTGTACCGTGTTTGGTCCTCTACTATTAAGGAACAATTTTTACCTCAAACTTCTTAGTAACTATGACAGGTTCGCTATAATTCAGCCCCTAACTATTCTTACAATAGAGTCCTTGGGTGTGGCAAAGGGTTAACACACTTGACTGCTACCCAGAAGGCTAGTTTACCCAGAGGCGCCTGGCTGGCAATTTACTTCTCAAAATGCAGCCACTGAAAATCCTACATCGTAGCTCAGCTCTGACGTACATGGGGTCACCACGAGTCAAAATCAACTTGTCAGCAACTGACTACTGGCTAGTGTATTTCCCATCCCCTTCCTTTGCTACAGCTAGAACAGACCACCTCCCACCTTTTCTCAAACACTGCTATCATTAGTTTAGCCAGGCTGACACGCCTCTTACTTCTGCCCGCCTTCTCCAAGTTCCCACGATTTAAACAGATTTTCTCCTTTTCAAAGAACTTCTGGGTTACATCGTTGTTGTTGTTGTTGTTCTGTGCTGTCGAGTCGGTTCCGACCCATAGCGACCCTGTACAGGGTTTCCGAGGGTGTAAATCTTTACGGGAGTAGAATGCCTCATCTTTCTCCTGCGGAGCGGCTGGTAGTTTCGAACCGCTGACCTTAAGGTTCGCAGCCCGATTCGTAACCACTACGCTACCAGAGCTCCTTTCTGGGTTACGTTAGTACCTTAATTTAGCACCAATCATTCTGAACGAAAGAAGAGTGGATTGGGCCTTTGGGCAGGAATCAGATCTGAAACATCCTGGTTATCTTTCAAAATACATACCACAGTGCCTTCCCTGGAAAAGGTAACCAGAAACGGACTGAACTTCAAATATTCAACGCTCAAATCTACCACAGTAGGCGTGGGTGGGGAAGCAGACAAGAAGGTACACTGAGGGTTGTTCTGTTTGTCTTGCCATGTGGCGGGGGTGCATCAGTACTTACAGGCTGAGGGGCAGCTTTGGGTTCTGTTGACTTCACATGCAGATGGGTCATCATAGCTTGCAGGCGCTCCTTGTCTTTTGCAAGCTATGAGGGAGAAGAAAATACTTGTTAACGTCTCTGAATACAAATGCCTTGGGTATTTTACATCCAAAAGAACAGTGCTCCAAGTGAGACTACAGCAGGACTGTACATGACAAAATCATTTTCATTGCTTAATTGTTTTGAAAAGCGATATGACCATTGCAAAACCCCAAGTGTTATAAATCCAGTTGTGTCTCCTCAAAATGCATGTTATATACCCTAACCTCTATGTCTGTGGTTAAAAGCCCATCTAGAAAAGGGTGGTCTTTGTTACGGAAGAAGCAGGATTCACATTCTGTGTTCAACGTATTTTGAGTTGTTCTCTTGAGATATAAAAAAGAAGAAACCAACAAACTGACAAGCAGAGATGGGGTCAGCGAGAGCCAAGATGGATGGGAGCAGGAAGCAGAAGACACAAGGCCCTCTCCCTCCAGAGCTGACACACAGAGACAACAAGCTCTCCTCTAGAGGGACTGGGAATTCGGTCTTCTAGCCTCCTAAACTGTGAAATACTCAAGTTCTGTCTGCTGTTACATGTGGTAGGTACTTGTGCTAGAGCAGTACTAGACCAAAGAAGACACCAGGTAACCAGAAGCGTCAGTGTGAGATTTCCCAACAGCAAACACATTAGCCTTTAACTGGGAAGTTCTAGACCAACTGGCACCAAGGAGACCTATGTAACAACACACACAGCTAAAAAACAAATGTGAATCATGCCTATTAACCAACCTTAGTCACGAGGAAGCCCCAGGAAAATGAGCTAGGGGGCGAAAACTCATAAACACATCTGTTGTGGTTGTGGAGAAACTCACAGATACATGGATCTGCTTATGCAAAATTAACTTCATCTTTCTTAGCAGGTAGGCACAGATTACCTGTGCCAGTAAATGCTACTAGCAAGGAAGGAGCAAGACTACAAGTGTAGACAGGTTTCCATTGTCACATGTACAAAGAATAATATTTGAGTGCTTACTAAGTGCTGGTCTCCCCTTAGCAAAAACCGTCTTCTGACAGCACGTGAGTTTTCTAACCACATGTAAACAACAGAACGTCAAATATGACTTTTCAGATGCCACTTTTATTTATTTCGTTTCATATTTGCCTTGGATTATTGTGGTTATTTTGAATAGTTTGAAACAGCTGGGCAAAGGGGATATAAAATGATGACTTATATAAAAGAAATGGGAGACTATACCGTCACAAAAATATCAAGGTATACATTACAGAAATGTCGGAGAGATGAGAGAGAATGACAGAGACAGAGCACTCAATAATGTCAGTTAAGTTCCAGGCCACTGTTTCAAAATGATTCTTCAGAATCAGCGAAGGGCTCATTCCTTCTATGTCATATTACCTTAAATCCTTAAAACAATACAAAACCCAATAAACAGAGTTTTTATTAATCTAAAATTAGCCCCGAATAAAACTTAAGACAGACTCACATTTGAAAAAAGTTGTTCTCTTAGGGGACAGGGAGAGGGGTCAGGGGCAGGGGGGTTGGGCAGACATGATGGGAGAAAGGGAAAAAGAGGTACAGAGTAGAAAAAAAACTTTCTCTTATCCTAGCTGGGTGACTTAGTCTTGACCCATATCACAAAAATTTGATTTTTTTTTTTTTTTTCCTTTTTATTCTCTTCTGGTTTAGGGAGAATAAATTAAAAAAAAAAAAAAAAGCCTTACATGCTAGCATTTATCTTTCAACAAACAGGAAATGAAAATGATACCATATTAGGAGCCACTTTATGTTATTCATCCTCTGAAAGTTATTGAACACCAGAACTGAAGATGCTCTGCACACACAATGCTAAAGGAATTTAGGCTTCCAAAGTGGCTCAGTGAAAACAATTAAAGTGTGAGGAACGGCATTTTTCTACACTTTCTGTCTTCCAAGTAAGTGTTCTAAATTTTGAGGTGTTAAAACTAAAATACATTTAAGATTGTCTTTTTAAAGCTTGGTTTCAACTTATTATAGAGTAGAAAAAAATTAAGGGATATAAGCCATTCTTTAAAAATCAGACGTGTCTGCCATGCTGAACATTACAGACAAAAGGAACAAGAAATGGTATTTACCGAACATTAAATGTGAACTACTTTGGGGGTAAATACTGTGGCAGTGGCCATTACGAAAGACAACTTGGAAGAAAAAAACTGAATCCCCAATTTCAAAAGAAGCCGAGATCTCCTTCACATTTAGCCTAAAGGCTAAGCTTTTACTTCTCAAAGGCAATAGCACTGTGTTGCGAACACACACTTGGAAGTTGTACACCAAGTCATGTGCAAGATAACCCCGGAGGTAACTAGAACAGGGAACATTGTCTGTATTTTCCTATTGGGATATTAACTTTGATTCATCAAACGTTCTGAAATTGATCCAGGTTCCTTATTCTGTGCTTAGATTCAATTTCACCATCATCTAAAAGACGACCAAGGTGACAAGAAGAAAAAAAAAAGACAAAAAGACAAGTTTTTGGCTTTGTTTGGTTAGTCCAAAGTAATGTATACTATCTTATGAGTCTGGGATTACTATTGTCAATTATACCTCTAACATAAAATGTCTAAACAATTAAACCCAGTCACAAATACATTTTGTTGTTGTTTTCATAGCAAAAAGGCTTAAACATTCGCACCTATTGAAACCACATAGGTTCCTCTTCAATGACTGACTTGTGTTTATAATAATCCTTCATAAATATAATAATAATCCTTCAAAAAGCTTTCTGACTCTTTATTACATTTTATGCCGCCATTCCATGAACTCACCAGCCCTGTCAACTTTCATGGCGTCCTTTCATTATTATACTGTGAGCTCCCAACGCTCAGTAGTAGCAAGCACGTTTGCAATATAGCCTCATAAACTGTGAAATCCTATGAAAACCACAAAAAAAAAAAAAAAAAAAAACACGAAGCTGAGGAAGTCACTGCAAAGGTTACCTGGAAATCTTGGTTGTCCAAGTCTTAAGATCAAAACGGATGCTGTGAGAGACTAATTGAATTACTTTCTGAAAACGTTCCTGGTGGGCAGGGAATGGAAATGTGGGTGAGCTGCAGGTGCAGTGTCTGGTGTGTTCTAGTCACTGCATTTATCTGTTCTCCATTTCTGCCAAACGATGGATGAGTAACCCAGGCAAGGAGTGGGTACTAGAAACATACTGTTTTGTGGCTGTCAGGTGCCCTCATGCCAATTTTGACTTGCAATGACCCACATGATAGAGTAGAGCTGCCTCATGGAGCTTTCTAGGCTATAATCCCTCCTTACATGAGCTGATCACCAGGTCTTTCTTTCTCAGAGCTATGGAGTGCGCTGAAACCACCACCTCTCGGTTACCAGCGGGGTGCTTAACTGTTGTGCCACTAAATTCCTTAGAAACACATCACACTTGAGTTCAAATTCCGCCTTTCCTGACACTGGGCATTCTGTGGAACCTTTTGAAGTTATTTAGCTTCTAAATAAAGGCTAACAATCCTCTCAAAAAACGACTGTTTTTAACCCTCACAGAGGTGCTCTCGCACCTAAGCTTAGCATGGCATCTAGTGCTTCATGAACATTCAGAACTAAGAAAAGTTCAATCACAGTCTACTTCATCTAGACTTCCATTAGCTGAATTATCCTGTTTGATATGGGGATCACCATAACGGGAGTTCGATGGAGTTTGCAGCTGGGCTAACTGGGCAGAAACATCATTTTGATAGTTTAAAGAATGAAAACAGAAAGGAGAGGGAAGATGGCGCCCGTTTCCTATAGATTTATCTCTGTGGGTCTCATTCCTTTCATCCTGGGAAAATGCTTTCCCCCCTTGGCTGATATAGACCATCCCCCCTTTTATTAACCATGGCCTCAAATTAGGTTTCAGATAGTCCTGGCTGTAAGACTGGAACGTGTGCATTGCTCTGGACCTACTGAAAAGTGCCTAAGGCTAAGAGCTTCCTTGAACATCTTCGAAGATACAAACTCAGGAGATTAAACTCATTCTTTTATCAGAGAAAAGAGAACACGGTGTTGGGTCCATTTCACATAATCATTTCCTACGGTGTCAGGAAGACTAATCATTTTAAGGCCAATTTGGCAGTTCTCACTCATGGGAAACAATCCTGATGAAATGAACGAAAGGGTCTGTATGTGTAAAAACGCTAGTGGGGACTTAGTGGAGAGACACTAGAAGAAGGGGCCAGGGCACTCATTTGATTTCACTGAAGCAAAAGTTGTTGTGGCCATTTCAACTTGAGAGTCCCTAGCTGGTGCAAACTGTTGCCGTACTGTCTGCTAACCAACAGGCTGCGAGGTGCAGGCACTTTGGAAATATAACCTGTTGGTTTGCTTCTGAAAAGATCAGTCACTGAAACCGCAGGGAGAAGAGCTCTATACTGACCCACATGGGGTCACCCTGAGTGGAAACAAACTCAGTGGCAACTGGTGGTCATGGTGGCAGTCCTATTTATAACTTTTGCGTTTATAACTAGGAAAACGGGCTCACAAAGAGGATGGCTGCAATTAGACTAGAATCTGGGTTATGTTTGATTTTCCCAATCCAAAGAACCACATGGGATGCTAAGTCACATCATAGTCCTGTGGGGCCCTATACAGATGGGGAACCTCATGGAAGAGGTGGAGGTGTGTATTTTTACCCATCACCAGCTGATAAACAAGCATGTCGGGATCAATCCCATACAGTGGCAACAACCCCAATTTAGCTGACGGGCTTTCAATTGTAGAGCCAAACACTCCAAAAGTAGGATTTCTGAGTATCTCAAGTGACTCTTGGAACTCAGGTTAGGTTTGATTGACTTGATTCCGTAGCACCCATGGAGCATGTGCTAAACAGCGGCCATATCGGTCTTCTCAGTGGCTCCTATACTAAGGGAATCCAAACAGGTGAGCTGATTTAGGCAAAATGTATTCAGTTACACAAGTCTCCAAAGAAAATAGGATCAAAAAAAAAAGGATAAAACAAGAAGAGGAAGACAGCAGCACTCGGAAAGAAGAGGACTGGAACTCATCTACAAAA